CATTGACTGGACAACCTCGAATTACGAGTCAGAGTCGAGCGGCGTAGGCGTGTCGGGGTGTTCTGGGACAACACCCTTACCCCCAGAACCCACTATACTGATCCTGGAAGGTGAGGCCCCGTTTACGATTGTTTTTTCAAAATGCCTCTTTTTTTTTTTCTTCTTCTTTTTAACGGATTCTCACACGTCTCGCTAGTTTTTTCTCACTCACTAGGTATTATTATTATTATTATTATTGATCCCTTCGGCTGTAATCTTTCTCTCTATCGCTGCTTTCTTTTCTCTATTTTTCAACACCCTTTTTCTTTTTTTTTTTGCTATTCTCATTGTTACGCTGATGCTTCTCTCTCTTTCTCTCTCTCTCTCTCTCTGTCTCTCTTCGCTTGAATAAAACAACACACGTAGCTATTCGCGAGGTATTTCTTACTTATCGCGCTCGAACTTGCCTGGCGTGTTTAAACGTTGATAACGGTTGTAGTGGTTATACGGTAGAAAAGTTTTGTGCAATATTGTAATATGGGTGCATCGTGGTGTTGTGTACGCAATAGTATAATATAAACCGAGGTATTTTTCTAATCGATTCTCTCGCACGAAATTGTTGCGAAAATGAGGAAGAAAAAAAAAGAAAAAGGAAAACAATGCTGACAATAGTGTTACGCTGTAAAAGGAGGGATGATGAAAATTCATCGAAAAATCTCGTGTAAGAACCAATTTTGTTAAATACTTTTTTCATTTATTTATTTATTTATTTATTCGACTCCGAGTAAAAAACTGATTGGTTCTTACGATGAAATTAATTAGAATTCGCGATTATAGTTTATTAGTCGATGCGGAATAATAATAGGACTATAAAATTCGAGATTCGCAAGCCTAATAGCTAAGTATAAAAAGCCATGCAAATTTTTTACATGATACAATACCAATATTGTGCTTTATATATAAGCAATAAATAACGATCAGTTTTCTGATGGATGATATCACTTTCTTTCAAAAAGAGTCTATCTTGCTGAAATTTTGCCAATATTCCGGCTAATTACTCCGAAGAAAGGGGACACGCTGGAAAGAAAAATTTTTTTTTTAATATTCTTTAATATTCCTTTTACATCCGTGTTACTCGAATTTTTTTTTTTGCAATACTTTCGAAATACGATTCCATCAAAACGATCCGACGGAAAACTGATTTCTCGTGAAAGTGAAACACGCTCACGACGTTCCCCGTCTAACGTTATCCAGGTGCGAGAACATTCCCAGCCAGATCTTTTCCACCTGACGGAACCACATTCGCCCAAGTGGGGCTGGGACAGAAGCTGAGCAAAGAGATACCACCTTACAGCTACTGGAACATGCAATTCTATCAGTCGGAAGCCGCGTACGTGCGGTTCGACTATAATATTCCTCGTGGAGCGAGCATCGGTGTCTACGCGAGAAGAAACGCGCTTCCTACGCACACGCAGTACGATCTCCTTGAAGTATTGAGTGGTTTCAAGGCCAGGACCACAAGGGCGTCCCATGTTAGTGTTATTGTATGTGCCACTGCCCCATTTTTATTTTTCTTTTTCTCTATCTATTTAGCAGATTCCTAGAGCAACAACATTAGATCTTACAGCATATAAATTAAAATCTCTATTTTTTAAAAACGATTTATTTTCTATTATTTATTTTCTATTACCTTTTCATCGCAAAGCAGTCTTTTTTTTCATTGATCGAGAAGTTCTTGCGAATTTTCTTTTTATTTTTTTTTTATTTTTTTCCCATCATCAACACGTAGAGTATTTAAGAGATTGGTAGGTTAAGATTGTTAAGATTCGTCGATTTCTCGTCCAGCCATCGATCAAGAAGGAAGTGACGCACTACATGGAACCTGGCCACTGGTTCCTTTCGTTGTACAACGACGACGGGGATCCTCAGGAGGTGTCGTTCATAGCTATAATCGCGGAAGACATGACGCATAATTGTCCGAACGGTTGTAGCGGAAAGGGGGAATGTTTGCTGGGTCATTGCCAATGTAACCCTGGTTTCGGTGGCGAAGATTGCAGCGAGAGTGTCTGTCCGGTCCTCTGCAGCCAACGTGGTGAGTGATAAATATAATATCTTCTGGAAAAAGAATGGAAAAAAATATAATCGTTATTTCTGGAAATCGAAAATCGACACTTTGAACCTTTTCATTTATTCAACTGATCCTTTTTATTTTTCTAGAAATCGGGTTATCTATTGTAATCCTCTGCTATGATTATATATCCCTCGACCGATATAGGATCAAAATAACTTTTTCCACAATTTTATAATAGTCTTTTTTAATGACCCCATCAATACCAATCTGTTATTAATCACAAATTTTTAAAAATTTGGAATTTTAAAAATTTTCAGAAAGCTCGATCAGGTCAACTATACTTACGTATATTTTCTTAAAGAGAGACAATTTTATTAATCTCAACATTATTTCATCTTGTTTGACAATAGGCGAGTACATAAACGGGGAATGCCAATGCAATCCTGGCTGGAAGGGCAAGGAATGTTCTCTCCGACACGACGAATGCGAAGTGCCTGATTGTAACGGACACGGGCATTGCACGAATGGAAAGTGCAATTGCGTACGTGGCTACAAAGGGAAGTATTGCGAGGAAGTGGACTGCCCCCATCCGACTTGCTCCGGTCATGGTTTCTGCGCGGAGGGCACCTGCATTTGTAAGAAAGGGTGGAAAGGAGCGGATTGCAGCCAAATGGACAAGGAAGCGTTGCAGTGCCTGCCCGACTGTAGCGGACACGGGAACTTTGATCTTGAAACTCAGACGTGCCTCTGCGAACCCATGTGGTCTGGCGATGACTGCTCCAAAGGTAAAGAATATTATTCAAAATCGCGGGTTAAATTGTTTCAAAAAAAAAAATTAGAGAGGCCAAAAATTCTCTTTGAAGTTATGACACGATAAGATACTTTGTAGATATCTCATACTTTTATTCTTAATTGCTAGAGTATAAAGTTGATCTTACAATGAGACAATTATGCAGATTATACTTGGACCTTCATGATTTCAGGATTGTGAAATGTTGAGTAAATCATGTTTGAAGAATTTTTTATTTTAATTATTCATGAGTCTGATCATTCACTAGAATTATGAAAATTGTATTATTCTCATAAATCAATAGATAATTCTCTTTTAAAAATAATTTTAGCTTTTAGCTATTTCTAAATCGTGTCATAACTTTATATACATTTTACATAAAACAAAAATTCAAATTTCTTATTTCATTTGGATTAATCGATTCTTATGTTTCCAGGTATTACATCTATAAAATTATCTATTCCATATATATCAATAATCGAATCGTTCTTCTTCTTTTCTTCTTGACCCTTTGCTAATATTCGTCGATTCGACCCCAATGTTGACTAATTTCAATCCATTTTTAAAGAAAAAACCAACAAGTTTGTCCCCTGGCTTCTTGTGTTGCTTGTACACTAACGTTTCTCAAATAATACATTGACAGAAACTTGAAATATAAATCTGTAATTTCCCTTGCCGATTTGCAGAGTTATGCGATTTGGATTGCGGTCCCCACGGGCATTGCGTGGACAACGCTTGCGACTGTTTGCCCGGATGGTCGGGCGAGCTGTGCAATTTGAAGCAATGCGATCCACGATGCAACGAGCACGGCCAATGTAAGAACGGTACTTGCTTGTGCGTGACCGGTTGGAACGGAAAACACTGCACCATGGAAGGTTGCCCAAATTCCTGTTCCGGGCACGGACAATGCAGAGTCAGCAACGATGGCCAGTGGGAGTGCAGGTGTTACGATGGTTGGGATGGCAAAGATTGCAACGTGCTCCTCGAACAGAACTGCAACGACGGAAGAGACAACGACAAAGGTATAAAAACAAGTGGAGGGGATTTGTAATTTTTCGATCGTCAGCTTGGATTGTTAGCTCCGTCTCTAAAGAAAAATAATTTTAACAAATTAGGTGTTTATGCAAATTTTTTCACAATTATGCTTATTGTTCAATTATTAAATTACCATAACAGTTTGCAAAATTTTTATCACACCTTTTTTCACGAATCAAAGTAGAATAATTTCGTTGAAGTAGATAACTAATGAAATTGTATGATTTGTGGGACGAATTCCTTCGCGTTTCATTTTCGTATTATCCTTTAAAACGACGGGTGTGGTATTATTTACGTCAGCCATTTGGATCATCAAGCTCGGTTATAAATCTGTTTCACAAAGAAACGAATGCAAGATTTTTTATTCAAACGTGATTAATCCATCGAATAGCGATTCGATATAAATATATACGTATCACGAATACGAACGAGCTTTTCTAATTGCATCATAATGCACTTTCCAGACGGTCTCATCGATTGCGCGGATCCGGAATGTTGCTCGAATCATATATGCCGTAGCAGCCAGCTTTGCGTGTCAGCACCGAAGCCGATCGATATACTTCTGCGAAAGCAGCCGCCGGCCATCACCGCTTCCTTCTTCGAGAGGATGAAATTTTTAATCGACGAGGGCAGCCTGCAGAACTACGCTCGCCAGGAGACCTTCAACGAGAGGTGAGTTAAACGATTGCCAGCACGTCTCGTTGTTAGGTTTCTCCTTCGCGTCTAGCATTATTAAACGACTCTAATTACGACGTTATAATTACACAATTGCGTTTATAACATTATACGTGGAAAACGTAACGCATAATTTCGTCGACTTGAAACGTGCCCGTGTCCGTCCATCCGTCGTCCGTCCGTCGTTCTTCGTTCATTCGTCGTTCTTTCGTCCGTCCCGACTTTCATGTTTCGTGCAATTTTTTTTCTTTTTCACGTGTCACGTTCAAATCAAACACATGGAAACTCGGCATAACACGAT